ATGATTTGTGTATGGTCTTGATAAATTAGGGTTCATCTTGACAAGAAAGATCCACTTTGGAGCCGAAACATGACGTTACGGGTTCACAGCAATGCCCATGTTCTGCATGCTTACGTCAATGGAAAATACGTGGGTAACCAAATCGTCAAGGATAACAAATTCGATTACGGATTTGAGAAGAAGGTCAATCATCTCGTTCACGGAACTAATCATATTTCACTTCTCAGCGTTTCCGTTGGACTACAGGTAAGAAGTGAAACCATGTAGCTTCTTGAGCATTGCATGATAACTTTTTGTCCAAAACTATTGTGAAACTTGAAATGGTGGTCTTATGTTATAGAATTATGGAGCTTTCTTTGAGACCGGTCCAACTGGAATCAATGGTCCAGTGAAATTAGTCGGATACAAAGGAGATGAAACGATCGAGAAAGATCTATCGGCGCATAAATGGGACTACAAGATTGGTTTGAATGGATTCAATCACAAACTTTTCAGTACAAAATCCGTTGGTCACCAGACTCACCACCTTAAATGGTCAACCGAAAAGCTTCCTGCTGATCGGATGTTGACATGGTACAAGGTTAGTATCAATTAAAACCTTTCTTTAATAATCCTTTTGATATGTATTGCAAATAAGAGGCTTCTTACAATAAAGTGTTATCTTTTCTAGGCAAACTTCAAGGCTCCTCTTGGTAAAGATCCAGTGATTGTCGACTTTAATGGTCTTGGGAAAGGAGAGGCTTGGATCAACGGTCAGAGCATCGGACGTTACTGGCCAAGCTTCAACTCTAGTGATGACGGTTGCACTGAGGAATGTGACTATCGTGGCGAGTATGGTAGTGACAAATGCGCTTTTATGTGCGGCAAACCAACTCAAAGATGGTAAATCTAACATGAAATAAATAATGACTACTTTCTTATTTTTTCCAAAAGTTCCAGACTATTTTGCTCATAATCGCTAATGGTTAATTTCTCTGAAAATTATGGTATTTTCATTTTTGTAGGTACCATGTTCCACGATCGTTCTTGAATGAGACCGGACACAACACTATCACTCTATTCGAAGAAATGGGCGGTGACCCGACAATGGTGAACTTCAAAACGGTTGTGATTGGAACTGTTTGTGCTAGGGCTCATGAACACAATAAAGTGGAGTTGTCTTGCAACAACAGGCCAATCTCAGCCGTCAAGTTCGCGAGCTTTGGAAATCCATCAGGCCATTGTGGGTCTTTCACGGTTGGCACTTGCGAAGGAGCAAATGATGCTGCAAAGATCATTGCTAAAGAGTGTGTTGGGAAACCCAATTGCTCTATGAATGTGTCTTCCCACGTGTTTGGATCTAAGTTGGACTGTGGAGATTCACCTAAAAGATTGTTTGTGGAAATTGAGTGCTAGATTAGATCTTATCTCTAGCTAGTGATTGCAATAATCTCTTAAATAATCTAGATTAATCTTGGTGGTTAAATAATGTTGTTCTTGTTTTTCATCAGTCAGACGTTTTTTAGATGGATTTGGAAGTAGTAGGGTTATGGAAATAAATTACAATCTAATAAAAAATTTGTGTTAATTTTCTTTTTTTTAATGAATAGAGGTTCTGAACAAAACATGTACATCCCATGCTCTTGCAATAAAAGTATAAAAATTTATCATTATTTATGTAATAGATCTCAGAATAATTTGTTATCCTTTGTAAATTCTGAACTTCCAAATATATAATGGAGTATCCAAATATGAAGTGTTTTTTTTTATATATAGTGCAATAAAATCAAAACATATAAAAAAAAACTAACAACAATATTCATCTCATCATAACCCATGTTCATCTTATCCAACAATGTTCATCTTATTCTATGGATTGTTTGATTACCACTAGTTGCTCAATGTTCATCTCATCTTAATTAATCCATGTTTCCTCAATGTGAAATTTCAAATGCAGATTCTTGGCAGTTTATAGCAAAAATACAAAACAAAACAAAACAAAAATGACTAAACATAGATTATGAGATCACTAATTTATTTTTTATAGCACCGTGTTAAAATAAGCAATGATACTCTGTTGCTTGACGAAATTTGTTCCATGAGGATCACAAGAATTCACCTATAATAACACTTATTGTATCTCTTGTCCTATTGCTAATTATCTTCTATCACACATTCTATTTGTTCAGTCTATATACAATCAAAACAATGTATCTTTTTTCCAGTCTTTGGTCAAGACCTTTAACAATGTATCTAAATGGATTTTTTTTCTCTTAATAATTTCTATAGCATAAATAATTCGAATTCATCATCCGCATTGCTAGTTTTATTTCTACTTCTACTTGTTTCCCCATTATTTACAACATTCTCTTAACAATATTAAAAATCCTTGCTATGCCTACTGTAGTATTTTGGCCTAGTATAATCTCATATTTTAATTTATCTTGAGTACATGAATACTATTAGGAAATAAAATTTAGAAAAAAAATGTCTTAGTCATCCGGAAGATTAAAAGTTAAACATCGCACAATGATTCAAAAGAAAACAACATCCCAAGGTTTTGTTAAAAGAAAAAAAAAAAAAAAAAAAAAAAAGAAGAAGGAGCTTCTATCCTGGACGAGCTCGTCCTCCCAAAATGCTCCATCCATGCTCTGAAAGATTGTAGTTCAAGCGACTCTGTTTCACATCTGGAAGCAGAGAAACAACATCCTCCACAACCAACATTTCATCCCTGCGGCCACAATCTTCAAAATCATCGACAAAGAGATCTGAAACATCATTAATGCTCGACGAAAGAAACGGCGTTTTGGAAACTTGATGTCGTTTTGGCTCCGGTAACAAATTTATCATCAAATTTGCTGTATTGCTTCCTTGTTTTTTATTTTATTTTTGCCAAGGAAGCACTATATTAGGTTAACAACCTTTCATCATTTATATGATATTTACATGTTTAGCAAAAAAAAAAAAAAAAAAAAGGAAATATCCGAAGATTATTAATCTAGAAAATTCACAAAGTATGCAAGGAGGAGTTGGTAACGACCCGACCCGACCCGACCCGTTTAACAGGCTAAAAAACCCACCCGGTAGAGTGTTCTAGATAGAACTCTTACTGCAAATAAAAAGGGGCAGTCCTGTGTAAGTCTATCTCTTCTGCAATTTTTAGGGTTTTATCCTTTAAACTCACTATCCCCTTTTCTTATCCTCAAGGTATGAATCTCTTCGCTTTACTTACCAACACTCTCTTACTATCTTTTAAGGTTATAGAAAGGGTTCACCACTATAATTGAATACAAAGGTTTGAAATTTGGGCGGAGAAACTAATCGGGTTTGTTAAAAAGTGGTTGGGTGTTGCGGGAAATGTTGTGAATCTGCGAGAAATCTTTGTTTCTGCTTATTTGTTTCTCTCCTTCTCTCTCATTTCTGACCAATTGAGAGTTTATGTGTGTTTGACGTATTGCAGAAATGGCGGCGACCCAACTTACAGCATCACCAGTGACTGTGTCAGCTAGGAGCTTAGCCTCGTTGGAAGGTCTCCGAGCTTCGAGTGCCAAGTTTTCTTCTTTTGGAACTTTGAAACCAGGCACCCTTAGACAGAGCCAGCTCCGTCCTTTGGTTGTCAAAGCTGCTTCTGTCGTTGCTCCTAAGGTACTTGCTCACTTCCTTTTTTCGATTCATTGTTGTTTCTGAAATGGTCTGATTGAACATATTTGATTGAACATGTGGAGCTTGTCTGAATGCTGGATTGCTGTTCTTTTGCTTCACCAATCCATTTTATTGTTTTGGCCATCCTTTTTTTGTGTTACATAATCCAAACATTTGTATGATATCTATAGAAACTAAGCTTTAGATGCTTCTAGCTTTTTTATATTATTGGCGCCTTGTGAGACATTTTGATGTGCTCCTTCTCTTTTGTTATGACTTACAAAATTTCTTTGTTTCGTTTTGGTTTTTCTCGTGTTTGGTTATGTATAGTATACGACAATTAAGCCATTGGGAGATCGAGTGTTGGTGAAGATCAAGGAGGCAGAGGAAAAGACTATGGGAGGTATCTTACTTCCATCCACAGCTCAATCAAAACCTCAAGGAGGTGAAGTCGTTGCTGTCGGTGAAGGAAGAACTATTGGCCAGAACAAAATTGATATCACTGTCCCTGTAACAGCCTCACTTTCCTTCATGCCTTCTTTCTTCGTTTGCTTCGTTTCTGCTCATAAATTTATCTGAAATGCTTCTTTCTTCTTGGTGCAGACTGGAGCACAAATTATTTACTCCAAATACGCAGGAACTGAGGTGGAATTCAACGATGTGAAGCATCTCATTCTCAAGGAAGATGATATTGTTGGCCTTCTTGAGACAGAGGACATCAAAGATCTCAAGCCTTTGAATGACCGAGTCTTCATTAAGGTTTGCATCTTTTGCTTGTCGTAATCATCTTGTTGCATCTTAGTGATAACAAGAGGAAGCTTTGTTTTGAAATTTATGAGTTTAGGTTGCTGAGGCAGAGGAGAAAACAGCTGGAGGGTTGTTGCTAACCGAGACTACCAAAGAGAAGCCTTCTATTGGCACGGTAAGCACACACTTGATAGCTTGATGTGTTCCTCAGCTCATACAGAAGTGTTAGATATGCATAATCTCATTTTTGTTTTTTGGCAGGTGATAGCAGTTGGACCAGGTTCTCTAGATGAGGAAGGTAAGCGTCAGCCACTATCAATATCGACTGGAAGCACAGTTCTTTACTCCAAGTATGCGGGTAACGACTTCAAGGGCAAAGATGGCTCCAACTACATTGCCCTTAGAGCTTCAGATGTGATGGCTGTGCTTTCTTAGTTTATATCCTTGTAACCTGCAACGTGTATCCCAATTGTGGAAATTTTTAATGAACGGCTTGGCATAATTTTGAATAAAAAGACTTCTTGAGTTTGAAAATATGATTGTGATTTGATTGGTGATTTGTTGGCAACCCTTTCCTTACCATTAACACGCATATCAATTTGGTTCAAACGGTTTAAGCTGGTCAGTCAATAGAATCTGTAACAACCATCAAATAAAATCTTCTCGTAAACTTAGCGGAAGATATTATACAGGTAATATGCTCTACAGTGACCAGTGGAAACTTGAGACATGTTATCAAAGAGGAGAAGTTATATTACAAAAGGAAGGAAAAAGAAAGAATCTGTGTCTGTGAGAGATCTTCTGCATTCATCGGTTAAACGAAGTGGCCGAGTTATCATCATAATGACCTCTCCAAGCATTGCCACTATCGCCGCCACTACAGGCTTGATTTGTAACTGGTACTCCCGTAAAGTTCCCGTCCAAGCTCATCTGTTGAACCTCGGCTGATGAAAGGATCTTTATGCTCTGAACACAGTTTACAAATTCCCTGCAACAATCAAGATTTTAAAGGTTATGAAAAAAGAAAAGAATAAAGAATAGAACTTTCTAACAGTCTTGTGTGAATGAATAAAATAGCTCTCTACTTACTCCCACGGATCATCACCGACGAGAAGGATGTCGTTTTCATGATCGACATAGACAAGTTTCCAGTCTGATGTTTGCGGATCTTCAAGCTGTCCTTCGATCCCAAACATGCGCGCTAGATCATGCCTCAGCTCATCGTAACCTCTGTAACGGTTGACATCTATTGATCTCCCCACTGAACCTCGTTTTTGCACCTGTCAGGAAATTTTACAACATTGTCAAACCTAAAACGTAACTCAACTAGGAGGGATTGGAGCAAAACCGAACCTTTGTATAAGTTCGCATCCGTTGTGTCTGAGTTGGCCATAATCCGCCACCAAGAACGGCAGCATCGTTGACAGCTACGTCGTTTGAAAAAGCGGGCACATTGGGGATACCAAAAGATTGAGTTCTTACAGCTGAAGTAGACATCTCTGTACCGATGTCATTTGTCACTCCTCCATAGTTTGATAGCATGTTCTGGAGATCTTTCTGGGAGTCGTATCCCCGCGAGAGCAATGTGTCAGGCACAAAGCCATTATCGACAGTAGCTCCGCCGAGTAAGCTGTTTCTGGAATCACCGTCGAGGCCAAAGGTAGGAGCCAAGAAATTCTGTTGTCTGTTGTTGTCGCCGCCATCTAAGCCGTAAGAAGTTCCAGAGGCAGATGCTTCCAGTTGATGATCTGTTAAACTAGCTTTGGCCTTTTGCTGACCCACGAGTTCTTGTTTTTGCCGCATATCGGATTTGTTGTAAAGCTCTTGAACAAGACTACCAGACATATCAACCGGTGTGTCAGGTATCAAGATCGCTGGCCCGCTTTGGCTTCTGTTGAGAAAGCTTGAAGATGAGATCTGACAGTTGTTGGTGGAAGGAGAGGTTGAAGAGGAAGGTGCATCTCCTCCATCTGTGATGCCTGAATAAGCTTTGACCCCACCTCCAACCGGTGGGTTTTGTTTGTCCTGTGGCCGGCTCACCACCATTTGAGGCGGTTGCAACGTTGATAAGCCATTGTTAATGCAGGATGACGGAAACTGCTGACCTTGAGAGAGAGAAGGCAGCTGTGGCAACTGCTGGTGGAGTAACTGAGACTGCATACTCGAGCTTCCTGGCGAAAGAAATTGTTGATGCTGTTGCTGCTGCTGTTGCTGTTGCTGCTGTTGTAATCTCTGCAACAGCTGAAACTGTAAATGCGGTTGTTCCAAGAGATTCTGCTGGAATAACTGTTGGACCTGTGCATGTGCCTGTGCCTGTTGAGTTTTCTGCTGTAGAAGTGTTTGTTGATTGTGTCCCTTGACAAGACCAGGAGGCTGCTGCTGTTCTACTTGTCGTGGAAATTGTGTGTCTTGCGGAGGTATGGACATCAGATTAGATGACGACTTGCTGGTTTCAATTACACTACTCTGGCTAGTGCTAGCACCTAAATGACGATGTGTGTGATGAAGTTGCGTAGACTGTTGTTGCTGTTGAAAGCTTTGATTATGGGAGCTAGACGAAGGCGCAATGACACTGCTTGCCATTGATTCCGAAACGACTTGTGGTAGCAAATGATGCATAGATGCTTGTTGTTCCTTAAACTGCTGCGCTGCTTGTTGACCATTATAAAGCTGATTCTGTGGAAGCTGAAATTGCTGCAACTTATGTGGTTGCAAATGTTGTGGCTGTGGCTGTGGCTGTGGATGCGAATGAGATTGTGATGGCTGCGTTCTTAGCTGCTGAGACTGTTGTAGCTGCTGACTCTGTTGCTGTAGCGGTTGTTGATGTTGTTGCTGTAGCGATTGTTGTTGTTGTTGTTGTTGAGACAGCGATTGCTGTTGCTGATGGTTCAAAGAGGCGTGCAACAACTGCTGCAGCTGCTGTTGTTGAGACAACGTAGTTGACGGCTGAGGCAACTGGGACATTGGCGCTTGCGGATTCGGTTTGTTAAACTGGAGGTTTGATGAGGAAATTCCCCCTGGAGGCGTTTGAAAGCTCAGTAACTTGGAGGGATCATCAGTTCCACCAAGACTGTTGTGCAGCGCCGCGGTTTGAGAGGGGAAGAAACCCGACTGTGCAGCAGCAGATGGTAACTGGCCGTTCTGCTGCTGCATATTCATCCACTGAACTAAACTCAGACCAGGAAATATCGTGCTTGAAGGGTCTTTCATCTCTAAGCTATTGTCAAGCCATGGCATTGCTCGCTTTAGCGCAGACTCCATGTCAGTCTCATCATCTGCAAGACCACCAGCATTTCCGTCTTTTAGGAGATTCAAAGATGTTGTGTAAAAATGAAATTGTACAAAAAGTTATACCTGGCATTCCAGGTTGCCCAGCAAACCGAGGACGAAAAAATGGAGGAGGACATATGTAGAAAGGAGTTAACACCGGTTCAATGTCCCAAACTGAAACTCGACTGGGCCGGTCACCAGCAGCTGACTCATCCCATCCAATCTTTAGCAGGCAAAAAGAAAAAAGTAAGGCATGACTTAAATGAATGGTTTCAATGTATCAAGAATCACAAATTTGGCATTCATCATGAGTTTTACTTCACACTACCTGAAGATTTCGCCACTGAGAGTTTTTCCATCTCACTGGATCAAGATCACTGATACCGGTTACTGTACCCATATACCGACGAACTCCGCATTCTTCCGTCTCAAATATCATCCTAAACCGCATACCGAGGGAAACCTGAGCGTACATAGCTTTGGTATACTTGGCTAAAGGAACCACAAACTCAGAAGGAGCAGCCCTGCAAAACCCCGGTGGTATTCTCTCAGCAATTATCATGAAATAAGCATTTAGTGAGGTTAATGGAGACAAAAAGAAACATATAAGAGCCGCCACCTCGGGTTGTAGAAAATGGTGAAAGGACTGTTATTAGCATTAGCATGAGCTGCAGCAGCAAGAACTCCGATGTGCATGCTATCGCTTGATATTACAGATGAAGAAAGCGCAGGCTGCTGTCTATTTGCACGTCTTATACCCAACAGAAGTTGCGCTTTTCCATCTCTTAATTGAAAGTGAATAAAAGTTAGCATCTTGACTGACAAGTACCGAAAGAGCATTGGTACATTGAGATTGATATACCATACCTTATAAATAGAACAGAGTCTCCAGCGAAGAGCCTTTTCGTGCTGACGAACACACTCCAGCCTGTAGTTAGCAGGTGCCTTTTTGGTTGACCTGATAAATAGCAACAAATCCAAAACCTAAGAACAGTTTGACAAAAGCCAAATTGACTGAATAGGTTAATCAACCAAAAACAAGGAATCACCTCGATAAATATGTCTGAAAGTCCATGTGTTGTCATGAATATCCTTAGCAACAAGCTCCTGACAAGGTGGTTGCATCGAGAAATCCTAACAAAATATTGCCAACCATGTAAGAAACTAAGGCAACAAAGAGATCCAAGTTATCAAGAAGTAAAGATATATAAGAAAGCATTGTATATACACCAGAGCAGGAAAGATTTTCTCAGCTGCTCGTCGGGGTACAGAAAATCCACCGTGTGTGCTTGTGTCACTCGCCGTGAGGGTTTTACAGAAAAATTCATTAGGTTGTCTGTTTAACTTAAGACCCATGTCAGAGGCAAGCAATGCATCTCTGTCATACTGTTCAACAAAATCCTCTGAACAATTAGTCCATACTCCTCAAACACACCTAGAGCCGAGTTAATCAGTGAAAATATAACCTACTTTGTTTACTGGCTGAAGAGTCATCTGCGCGTAGACCTCATCTGTCTCAGGATCAGCCTTTTACAATCAGGAATTGGCAAATGACATTAGCAACTCAAAAGCAGACTGATGTTAAAAGATCTAAAGTAAAGGCCATTATCAATATTTAAATGAGATACCATACATTCAATGTAACATTATGGAGCATACAGATGAGCTTAGAAGGAAGATTCGGATAGCTAGGTATGAAATCAGTCTGCTTTTGCATTGAAGCTGCGACCTAAGAAATAGACAAAAAAACATCAACAGCCGCATGAAATTCCAATCAGAGACTCATTCTTGATCAGAACCGTGAATGATATCGAACTTTCTCAAACAACATACTTGCTCACTGTGACCTTGAGGGAAGTAAACAACAAGACTTCCCGCTGGAGGCAACGAAATCAGTGGCCCAGCACAAGCGTGCCATAATTCTGAGTTGATGTTTCTCCTATCTCCTGCACTCACACAACATCAAAGATGTGATTACTTCAAATCTCTAGGATCTTCCTTTGTTAACTACTATCGAAACAACAAGAAGAGCTAACTGCTCTAAACCCCACAAACTTCCCACAGCCACAGGCTGTTTACATCAATACAATAGTTACTTAGCTTACTTCTAAAGCAGAAAATGAGCGAAATCAACTCAATTCAGGTGCCCATATCCAGCAATTTTGAAGAAATGGTGACCTCTACTTCCAGCTGAATCTATACAAATCCAGCAATGGAGTTTCTACTAAAGGATTGATATTTATCAGGATAAGAGATTATACAAACCTTCTGTGGGATTCGGAGAAACTCCATTTGATGAAGGAGCTTTCATGATTGCTGAACTTTACTCCAGAAGAATCTACCCAATAATAATCTAAATCTGAGCTTACACAAAGCTGAGCTCTTTGCGTGAGAGCTTCATCTTCAGCATAGACATCAAAGCCTAAACTCTGTCTCTCTCCCACCTCAATCGGCCACGGAAACAACTGATTTCTTGCTCCACTTCTTCACAATCCAATTTACAGTAGAAAAATCGTTAATCTGTAGAAACAATCTGAAATGGGAACTCCAAGATCTCTGCTTTTTACTTCCGACAAGGCCTCCAATTTCTCGGAAATTTGACGTATCTCAGAGAGATCAAAACTAGAACTTTTTTGCACGCGGAATCTCCGGAGAGACCAATAAGTCATAAGACCGAGACAAAACGAAGAAAGATTCCGTTTTCGACGAAGCTTCTCAACTCGCGTCAGACAATTCAGAAAACCCAGGAACCAAAAACCAGAAACTTACTTAGACTCAGCTGCTCTCTTTACTTTCCTTTCTTGGCGCATCAAAGAGGGTTGGGTTTCTATAAAAAGAAATCTGGGAAATGGGTAAACAATCGAAAGAGGAAACAAAACGAAGGAAGAAGAAAGAGAATCGAGGAGCAGGAGATTATGGCAGAGAGCTCGCACGGGAGAGAAGGAGCATCAGAGTTGTCGGAAATGGATGATCAGCGACCAGGACAACTACCAAAAGGTCTGCAAAAAGCACAGGAATAGCTTTTCTTCTTCCTCCTTTTTTTCCTTTCTTCTCAATTTTTAGGATATTTATTTTATTTAATAATGCTTACGAGCCGACATATTCACTAGCAAACTGGCCACGATAAAAATTTCTTAATAATATATGTCCTCTAGAAATAAACTTTTTTGGCAAAAAAACAAGAAAAATAAACTTTACTATTGTTTTTCTTCTTCTCCTTAGTGAAACTGTGATATGTTTTTTTCTTTCATTAAGTTAGTTTACTGTGTTATACAATTATTGACGTACTTCACAAAATAGGGGTACAGCATTCTTGAAGATGTCAGCCAAAAAACAAAACGAATTTGACTATTTATTTTATAATCAAAGCATATACTTATGCAAATTTCTGAATTTTTTGGTTTTTTAAATTCAGATGAAATTCTCGTAAAATTTAGGTTTAACTATTTGAAAGAGAACTACTAGAGATCCTCATGTTTTGCAAATGAGTTTTATAAACTAACAAACCAACCTTTAAATACAGATTGAGCGATGCAATATATAACTATTATGTTTATGTATACTATTTATAATGGTGTAGAATGGTACGTTACTTTCTTATGTTTTCACATTTTAAAATTTCAAGTTCGCTATGTTTTACATTCAGAAATTTTTATCAAGTTTTCATATTCTCGAAAAGTGATTTGACATATACTTTAGGTGTAATCATATTCAAAGTTAATACGATCTACTTGTAAAATGTAAATAAATAGTTTAAGTTTTGTTTAATTTAAGATTTAAATCTAGACGTTTCTCTTACAATCATTATTATTTTTTTGCGTTTTTTTGGCAATATTACAATCTAACAAAATTATGTTTCTCATATATCAAGGGATAAATGATATCGACGTTTTCAGAGAGTCATTTGACATTATAACCAGTTAATCTGATTATTTGGATGTCATATTGATCGACAACATATATTTTTTAATTTGTGGATGAAAGTTGTTCTTTTCAGATAAAAGAAGAAGATCAGATTTACATAGAATATACACTCCGTCTATAATGTTATGAAGACGTGCGACGTTCGCTGGTTATATATCAACCGGGCCGCCTTCACATTCAAAGGAAGAAAGCACAAAGAAAATTTTCTTAATACAGACGCTGGAAAGTTGGAACATATTGAAGATTCGAAAACTTTTTTCTTTTGACCGGTGAGACCTAACGTAAGAACAAAAATATTCCACTTTATCATATATGATTTTGTCATTTTTAAATGTTTCTTGTTAACTGTCAGTAATAAAAATTTTCTCCGAATTTAATATACTTGAGACATTATCAAACCTAAAATTGAAAGAAATATCAATGTAGCAACTCCAAAAAAACAATGATATGCTTTTATATATAGACTATTCGGTCAACAGTAGAGATCGAATTCTTATCCACTATACTTTCATATTGGCGACTACTACGGTAAAACCTCTATAAATTAATAATGTTGGATCATAATATTTTATTAATTTATCGTGATATTATCTATAAATTAATAAGAAAAATTGATTTCCGCATATAATTTTTTAAAAATTTATTTAGAATAATATTATATTTTAAATTTTTTTAATAAATCTCATAGTATAAATTATAATAAACAATCAGAATTATCGCAATAAAATAGTTTTAACACCATATTGGGATTGTCCATGTAAAATATACATGTTCATAAGTTTAACATTTATTAAAAAATCATGGCTACTATCAATATTATTGATGATAAAATTAAAAATAACACTACAATACATTTAAAAATATTTACATGTAAGAAAATCAATTATCACATCTAAAAATCATCATAAATTTTGAATGTATATAGTAAAACAGCAATAAGAGCTACTGATATAATAATTAGAGAGATAAGAATCAATGAAATTTCAACTTTAAATAAAAACAAACACATTAGTTATATTTTAAAATATTATATTTACATATATTTGCATAAATTTATATAATTATTAATTATGTTTTTGTTGGGACCGTATATTTACATAAGAGTTTCAAAAAATAGTATTATCTTATCGAATTTGATGGATTTTTACATTGGCCCGACTTGGGACCAATAAAATTTATTAATTTATAGTGATTATTAATTTATCGAGTATTAATTTATAGAGGTTTTACTGTATATAGTCTATAGACGTTTTAATTTTGAAAGAAAGGTAAACATTTTACAGTCTTTAGGGATTAGCATAGATTTTCAAGTCAATAATTTTTCCGGTTATGAAAAGATAGAAACTATATATTACGCATAAACTCAATATGACACAAACATATGTAAATGTAGGCGTATGTATGCATGGATATAAATTCAAATAAGTGGCAGCGACATGATGTCCCTAAGCATTGAATGCGTGAAGACAGACATTTGGAGATTGGATGAAGGTGGGACCTTTATGAACTTAGGGATTTTGAGGCCGAAAATAACTCCCAACTATTATTTCTTGTTTTGGTTCATAATTCTCTTATAACAAAAGTAATAATAGCGATTGACATTAATTAGTATTGTTTTTGTTTGTCAGGGATTAGTTATTAGGATAAAAACTCGCAGTTAAAATCTTATATCCTAGTTTGTATATTTTCTACGTTGTTAAGTTACCGAATGTTTTGCAGCTCCAAAACTTTTCCTTTGGTAATGTTTGTTAACTATCTAGTTGTAATGATTGAAAAACGAAAAGAAATTGGTTTGCCTTGAAGGTTATAGAAGCGTTGTTTTTTTAGAGACAATTTGCTATATAGACTAAGACCCGGTCAAAATTTGCCAATAAGGAAAAGTAGTGTTTCAGGTGAAAATTTTGAATTCCAAATTGTGGCAGATTACGAAAAGAACCCTCAAGCTAACTTTTTCTGTTTTGCTAATTGTATTTTTGATTTAATTTAAATAACGGAAGAAAAGATAATATCGACATCTATAGGTTCCTGTAGATAGCGTAAGTCTGTTTGTAGGCATTTGAGAACCACAAAATATAACAGCTTTGGAATTTCTCTCTCATCAATCTTCTTTATTTAACATATAAGTTATACAATTACATAACTTCTTATCAAACTACATACTTTGTTAGCATAGTAAGTTTATGTATTCTTGAAACAAAAATAATTTTTGTATTCTTTGACACCTCTGAGTTGCTATATTTGATTTGATTATTGATTATATCAGAACTCATTAACATATACATTATACAGTTATATTAAACGTTATCAGTCTAAATAATTTTATTCATGTGTATGCATCTACTTAATATATAAATTATACAATTACATAATTTTTTTTATCAAACTACATACTTTGTTAGCATGATAAGTTTCTGCATTCTTTAAAAAAAAAAGATTGCTGCCTTCTTTGACACTTGTATATTTGGTTTGATAATTGATTATATCAGACCGTTGTTAACATATACGTTATAGAGATACATGAAACAGTAGCAGTATAAATAATTCTTTAGCGCGCTGTTTTTATCTGATATACGTTAACATATAAGTTATACAATTACTTAACATATTATAAAGCTATATAATTTGTTAGCGTGCTTAATTTCAGTTGCTATAATTGGCTTATCGAGTATTAATTTAAATTTATATGTGTAATAATATAGTTAACATGTTAAGTGGAATATTAGAGATATATCAAAACATTTATATGGTATAGTAAATGAATTGTAATCATCTGTAAAATATATTAGCAATCTAACACTCAATTTAGAAACCTAATTCTAAATTCAAAAATAATTTAGAGTGAGTGCAACTTTTGGATTCAAAGATAACCTGCTATATATTATCCAACTATATATTATTTTGATATATTAAAACATTTGTTAGATGGTATAAACATTTGTTGATTGTTAACTTTCAAATTAAACATTTTTCCAACTTAACTCATCGAGATCTCCGTCTTCAACAATCTCTCTCTCAATCTCAGATCCATAATTTTAGAGAATAAACAAATTTTTTTAATTTACATCAGCACATACTTTCAGAGAAGAGACGAAACTAAAATAACTTTGATTTAAATAAGATAAACAAGTTTGATTAGTTCTCTCGAAAAAAGTTGAAACCAAACCAGAGAAATTGATCAGTATGGTTTATGGGTCGCCAAAACTGCTGGAAAACGACGGTTGCTCCATAGTCGCCAGAAGCTTCCCCAATTGTGAGTCTCGTAATCTTTTCGCTTCTTCATGATCAAACGCATTAAGGATGGCCTTCACGACTTTCAATTTCTGGTAAGAGTTAACCTTCTCACCTACTGGTTCATGACCGGCGGCGAAAATCCTTCCGGGAAAACTAAAATTGGACATGTGTTTGGGTTGAACTGACAAGAAAAACAATAAATCAGAACGGATGTACTGCGAATCAAGAAATTACAGTTGAAAGTAAGAATATTTGCAATAAAAAATCACAAATTTTACCGAAGATGGAAGATGGATAGTGGGAGCGTGGTGTAAATGGCTTGAGGAGAGGACAAAAACTGTCTATGGACTTTTGTAGTTTTGAGATCGAGTCTAACAAGAAGTTTACCCAAAATATTATATTCGAACCAGATTTATTCGAAACTGTAACAAAATATCGGTGATATTAACAAAGAAGAAAGCAATAAATGTCGTATTTTAAAATATAAATAAATGTAGTATTATCTTCTCATTCAATAAAAAATTATTAAATCTGACACACAATCTCGAAATGCAGATGCATGATCTTAGTTATAAGCTCGATAGTATAGGGGTAATGTTGTATTAAAAGAAATAGCACAGTGTCGAAACAGTGGACTTTCCTTCTTAGCAAATTATGAACAGTCCCAAGTATATACGACACATTTTCTTTTTTTTTATTGATTTAAATTTGCATTAAAATAAAAAGTGAATTAGTATAAGAACCAAAATTAATGAGAAAATTGGTTATCTATCATGATTGAAAAGGATGGATTTCTGAGCCCTACCTCAAAAAAAAATGGATGGATTAATTAAGAACAGAAAATAGAGAAGGGCCTCTCACAGCAAATCCCACCTGACGTGTTCGCACTCACACCCCATTTTACATTGGCTCCTCTAATTGTTGTGTGTTGACATGATTGCTAGTTTGCCAAATCTCTTTTACAGTGGAGTTGGATTAGTCTCAAATCATAGGTATACGTAAATTTCATAGCCTCGTTAAGAAGAATTAATGAGTGCCTTCAAAAACTGATATATTTCACGATTAACATGACCAAACGATGAATTTGGAAGCTTCGTCTTCATCTTAGATTGTTACTAAGTTTGTCACGTATGTCAAATTTGCACGCTACCCAAATCATGATTTTCTCCTCCATTTTTCACCAGATTTGTCAGCTTCAAACTATCCCCTTCAATACCAACACACATCTTAATCATGTGCTTAAACAAACATACAGTAGTGATGCAAAATCAAACCATGCAAGTCAATGAGGCCCATTATTGTAAATATTAAACTTTAACTATACAATTTGTTTAATTTGTTATTCGTTCACGTGCCATAGGCCCGTTTTTGTAAATTTAGGCCCATTATTGTATCTGATCTCCATTATTTTCTGACCCATAAGAATAACAAAGAAATTCATTTATTATACTAGTGCCGCTACCCAATCTACCTTCAAATTCAGTATTTTGCGTTATTGCGTGTGAGAGTTTGTTGAGGGAAAATTAAATTTGTATAAATAGTTTTCAGCAGTTGCCAATAATGGACAATTTTCCGCTACGTCAGTTTATTAATTTCTGTATATGATTTTCGTTTTAGTTTATCAGTCTTTTAGAAATCTTATTTTCAGTTTCATATGAAGACAAAATCACGTGCTCGAGTCGAGATCCAACGGATCCATAGTACGATATAGTCATATAGTGACATAGGGGAGAAAGATTAAACAAAAAAAAACTCACGAGTTTAAGTTACCATTATCACAAGTTCACAACTACTAAAAAGGACGTTGTATAATTTCAAACTCTTTTGTTTATATAGCAGAGATTATCTCTTGCAATTATATAACACACGAAACTGATTAAAACTAACACAAAATCACAACCGTCCAAATTGAAACAATCCCATTACAACATCAAGAACGTACGACGTGGGGCTTTCCACGTGTCTCATCGAGCTGGTTGATCATGTAAAGCGCGTTGCTCGTAACCCTCGCCACCTTCGTCATCCACTGCTTCACCTCCGATTTGATCTCGCCGTCGATACCTTGAAACCCATCGAGACAAGTGTCATCATCCGTCAACGCCGCGCTAGCCCACGTCTGCGCATTGCTCATCTGCCACCGGAACTCCTTCGTCGAACCGCCGCTCGAAACGCGGAGATGCTTCAAAACGCTAAGCGTGCGGCTCAGCTCGTCTACCGAGTCTCCAATCATCTCCACGCAGTCCACAACCGCTGCTTTCTCGCGTTTATTCTTCCCCACCGTTTCTCGAACCGCCGCGAGTTTCTTCCCGGCGCTTTGCGCGTGTGAGAGGCTGATTTTGACGGCGGCTTGAGCTAGCTCGCGGCGGTTGGTGATGGTCGGACCGGAGTAAGTTGAGAGCGTACGTACGCATAGCGATGGGTAGCTCGCGTGCTCGCATGAGGAATGTACGATATCTTCTCCGACATTACGTCCGGTGATAGCGGTTACAATGACGGCGGAGACAATGACGGCGAGGAGGAGCTTCTGTGGAGTAGCCATTTGTTCTCTCGGAGTGAGATAGAGAGAGAGCAAAAGAGGGTTTAGCTCTGTAAATGAGAAAGGAGAGTGGTGACTGGTGGGTAAGAATTTAAAGTCGTAGGACCGTGGAACATACGAACCTATCTATTGTTATTACTTAATTACCCTCAGATATTTCCCTTGTTTACGTGTGTACGCGAATAAGATGAGGGTAGGAAGGTGAATGCAGCACCTGTTGAGTATGGGGAAAATCTGTAAACTTAAATGCACCGCAAATTATAGAACAGAGTCTAGCGACAGAAGAAACACTGTCCAGCCTCAATGCCATAATAGATAAATTAATAACAAAAAATTGTGAATGATATATAATGGTATAAGTATAACGATATGAAAAAGAACAAACTTTGTGGAATTATTGGCCGACTGGTCACCTGTGCCCAATTATGTTCAAAGAGGTTTCAGACTCAGAAGCTTGGGGGCCACATTTGTTATGAATTGACAAAAGAGGTTCAAGTGACAAAAATCTTTAATTATCTGCCTTCTTTTTTTTCTTTTAGCTCGACTCTTGCATTTTTGAGAATGAATTTCTATATTACGTCATTTTAAAACGAATTTAACTTATTTCTTCAGATCGATTCAAAATGCATCCATTCTGAAATTGAGTTTGAAAAACAAAGAGCTTCTTTCGTTAATCAACATTCAATTGGTAAATCAAATAAAAACAAACTATGCTAAAGTTTTGCTTCTAATAATTTTTTTGGGGGTTTGTTAAAGTTGCCTGTGCTTTTAATAATTCAAGCGATGTTTTCCTATCAGCCCAACGAAAGAAAGAAAGGTAAAGATACCCAACTGAACTAGAATGACCCACATATAAAATGTCCCATCTTCGTATGTTTATTTGTTTGGAGATTCATTTATACATCTAGACTCATGTGTGAAAGCATACCTGTAATCATGTTATTTTTCAGGTGATTCGGATTTTTACCATTTTGACTAATCTGCTAAAATGAGTAGAGTTATCAAGTAGCATATTCATAATTAGTCTAAAACAAGATGTATACTATTTCAAATGGTTAAATGAAAGTGGTTACTGAGAGAAATCGATCTCTGGTTTAGACCTTTATGACGAGTTCTCAATAAAAGGAACCATGCCTACTATCACTTTGTAGCCTTGGTTACAATTTTTGTGATTGTTTCTTATGGACTATTGGGCTAATGAAGAACCATGCCTCCTATCACTTTGTACCCACATGGACGTACCGTATCAAATAAGTTTGTTAGAGGCTCGTGATTTCATCCAACAACAAAAAGAAGAAATCAAAATTCTCAAAGACACAATAAGAATAGCGAATCATCAAATAAACAGATGTCAAATTGATTCAACATAAATGGTGATCAATACATTATTTTGGAACAGATAGGAAACGAATTGATCAAGCTTAAACCCCAAATCCATGACATCTACCAAGAGGGAAAACATGTTGTGATAATCATCATCATCTTGTGGGTGGGTTCTATAATTTTCGTAGCCATGAATATAATGATGAAGAAATAGCTGTGTGTTTCTCATTGAAGTGGTTATATTTTTTGTTATGATATTGAAGAACTACTAGTTTTGTATCTGTCTTTAATTTAGCTAGTTTTTTTTTTTGGGTGCAACCTTTTAATTAAGTTATAATTTGTTTTTCGAGCTGTGTTCTGAGTAGTAAATTTGTGTTATGAGTATGTATAAAGTTTATTTGATGATTTGTAAAAATAAAATGTAAGTTATCTTCTAAGTAATGGTAGTTGTATGTAACTTGGATTTATCAATACTTTAACTAGAAAAGAAACATACGCAAGATACTAGAAGTATTTCCTAACCATTTGTTTTTTCTTTCCAACCCTAAGAAAACTGAAACTCTTATTAATTTCTTTGGGTTTTTTCTCTCCAAACTCTTCAAAAGTTTATGCCCCAATAATTTAGGTTTTCCTTTTTTTTGTAATATTCTTGTTTCATAGTTAAGCTGCAACAGTTTAATTTACAGATAGCATAATAGATTAATAGTTAGAAGCAATTAGAAATCCATGCATGCAGTCAAGTTTTGAATGAGCCAAACAAGTATATGCGTGTAGTCAAGTTTTGGATGGGCCTAACAAGCGTAACATACTTGTGTCCAAATATATGACCTTTATCCCGACTTCACGATATCAATAAAATGACATGTTGGATCAGATTTATGATATATTGACCCCAAAAAAAAAATCAGATTGATGGTATGAAGTGGTAATAATAGTTGGAAACAATTGGAATTAGTATAAAGGTATTAAAATAGATGGCAATTCCGTTTTTGGCAAGGAATCGTGGTACAAAAAATAGATGGTAATACCGTTTTCATATTTGTTGTATTGCTTGAGCCGAATCTATCAACACACAGATACAAAATTTCGACTAGTTAGCAATGCTCAGAAGCAACATTTTGATATTAATCTTCTTCTTATTCAAGCGTTGCTGGTCTTGTGGGGGAAAATTATGTACAAATTACAAAGTTAAATCGACCAAAACTACACTTTAAAGTTTAAACCAAGAAGAGGTTTGAAGGACTAATAATAATAATAATATTCCAAACTAGGAAGAATATCCTCTAAATTTAGAGAGCTGCCGCCGTCACGGGTTCCGTTTGTCATCCCATAACCTCACGACATTTCCGTTAATCACCGTTAAATCCACGTAACGGTACCAACCGTCGTCACCATTTCTCATCTTCACCACTCTTTCCCATCTCTCCCACCACTCTCCGCAATCACCCAAACCACCACCACCGTAGTTAACGGCCGTTAACTCTCCGTCACAAAACCTCTCTCCGTCAACGTCAACCTCGTAGTACATCGTCAGCTTCCCTTTGGTCACTCCGTCGTCGCACATTAACGGCGCTCGAGCCTCCGTTTTCTTAACCACCTTTTGCTTCAATAATGGAGCCGCAAACGTTGTTTCTTCCACCGGACCGGACATTGCTTGCGGTTCGAGATAACCGGCTTCTTGTTCAGACTTCGAGCCGGTTAGTTCCTCTATGAAGCCACATCCATGGCCTTCGTCTCCGATGCTTGTGACTCTTATCCTCCAGAAGCTGACGGCTGCCGTCACGACGGCTATCCATGTCCAGACGTTGTTGACGACGGCGAGAACACCGAAGCTGGCGTATTCGAAAGCCAAAGCCTCTAATGGAGAATCCAAGGTCACCATGTTTGCAAATTCTGATCTTTGCCTTTTGAAATGCTGATAAGCAAATGAGGTGAATGAATCAGTGGTGATTATATAAAGAAGGGAAGAGAGAGAAAGAGAAAATGAGATGGAATATTGACCGTTGGATGAAGAGCGAGTAGAGTGACGGGTCGTGTGGAAAGAGAGAGGAAAGCTGAGCCGTTGGATCTTGTCAAGTGGAATTATGAACCTTTCGTAGATGCTGAGAATCGAGAGTGAAGATGCTTTGTCTTCAAGGAAGATGCGAACAGCCCCAATTTTTATTCCCATCGGTTGGCCCCCAAAATTTAATAATATAACATTGTATTATTACAAATGCTTGAGTTTGGACCCCCAAAAAATATAACAGCACATATTTAAGATATGAAATCTATATAATATTTTATTTTATCGAGACAATTTAGAGTATTACACGGCTCTCTTTTCTGCTTACGATTGTGTGCATGTCCGAAGCAACAATACTAGGTGGAGGATGTTCGTCCATCACCAATATTTATTATAGATTTTTTTTTTATAAAAAACGTTGTGGGCAATGGATTTTTCTAACAGTTTCTTTCTTAATTATAGGGTTTTTTAGACCACAAAAATGATAATTGAAAACTTATAATTTATGCTTCTTTGTTTGTTTGTCTGTGTGTGTGTTATCTAAAGCATATTTATAATTAAGGTTATCTTTGCCTCCATATTTGGGGATGATAAAGCGGTTGAATAATCTTTAATTGTTTATACCTCAACATTTCAAAGTCATGCATCTTTCATCTGATCAATGATATCTGGGCTATTTAAAACCCCTTGAATTGTTTTATCAATTATCAAACTTTGTTGGCACCATAAAATTATACTATATATATTAACAAAACAAAAAAATGTTGGCATATATAATATACTGTACGTGGATGAATGTGACAATTATTAGTTCATAAAGTGTGATAATTTGTTTTTAGTTTTTCTTTTTAGATTTTACTATTGAAGTGAATCGGACTAGTTTATGTTGTTTGGATTTCTTTGAGATGTTTGTACTGTGTTACATGATTAGATTACTAGTCTGCTGTAAATATTCGAGTGAAAACTTAAAAATTAAAAGAATGACATGCTTGAACATCGCACTAAATTAAAGATCTAATGCATTCCCAAATCCAAGTGTTGTTCTTTGTGAAAAAAAACTCATACATCTTAAGCTTTTAAGTTGCTAACAATTTTAATCATACTTTGTTTTCACGAGAAATGGTGGAACGTTTTTCTTCATGAATTTTTCACGGCAATTAGTGAAATTTTAAAGAAATGCATAAGCCAAGTCTACATTGTCGATTTAGTCCGCGGAATGAAACAAACAAATAAACATAAAAGTGTACAACCAAAAAACTATAAAATTAAACAATACTAAAATTATAATTTACAAACAACATTATTTTAGAAATTTAGTAGATATAATCAAAACCCAAATTTACAAATCAAATATACATTGGCGTACTTTTAATACATTAAATTTAAGTAATCATATACAATACATAGAATTATGAGACGCTTACGAATCAAAACACCGCACATGTGTGAGAAGATATTGCAAAATCCATTTAAAATTCTCCGCAAAATATTGTTTGTAATCGTATACACTAGTAGATGCCATGTTCTTGTCTCGTAATTGTATCACAAATTAGTAAATCATCTGTTTTTAAGTCATCTTAGTACTATTAGATGTAAGATGTCTAATATTTTTTAAAATATGGTCACCTTAGTTAAGTGCCTGGTTAAGTGTATCCACATATAATTCAGAATTTTTTAATAACGCACGGAGTGGAGGCCTGGAGGGGGATAAGTTCGTAACGAATTGAGAGTAACGGGGTCATATTGTAATAAAATAAACTTTCGGCGAAGAGAACGTGAAAAAACAGAAGAACCTGAAAAGGCGAAAGTGACGGGAAAGCCAACAAAAAAAAAATATTTTGTGCGAGAATCAATGAAATGAAACTATAAATCCAAAATAAGCCAATCCTCATTTTCTGATCTCCCAAAATTCGCTTCTCTATTCGTTTTGCCCCACCAAAAAATTTAGATTCTATTAAATTTATATTTTAATTTTGTTTTTTCAGTTTTTTTTTTCTTTCTAGTTTCAGTACTTGAAAACATCTCTTCCTCATCATCGTTTGAGCTTCCCAGTCTTCGAACAGAAAAAACCTAAAAAAAGAACGAACCGACAAAAAAAACAAACAAAAAGAAAGAAGAAATCTTTGGGAGCTCCTTCCTATTTTTTTTGTTTGGTTTGCATGGTGTTTCTCATCGGGTCCATTGCTAAGAGTGATTCAATTCGTTTTCCTCTTCAGGTAATCAATGTAATGTACGTATATATATGTAAGATTTTCTGAGATGCGTTTTGATTTCATCATCTGAATTATTTCTAATTTATGAAATTTGGATATAGCGGATCCTGATCTAATCTGGACTCCTTTTATTTTTATAACCGTGAGCTTTAGTGCGTTATATAGGTGGATCTGTTGAGTTTGCTGGAAAAAACAAAAAATAGGAAAAGTGAAAGTAATCATCTAATAACAACATAGAGTTTGATGTTCTTGAGATTGATCTAATATTTAGGTTACCTCTAGCTCTAAGCCTTTGTGTTGCAGATTCCAAGTTCATAAAAATTTGGCCCAAATATTAGGATTTGCAATGAATCTGAGAAAACATTCCTTTTGAAAAAGACTGCTTTGGAGTTTGGACTATGTTTCTGTGTGGATGTGGGTCCCCTGTTGTAGTTGATGACAATAGATAGTATATATTCTCTGGTTTCGTTGACAAAAATATTTAGCCAGGAGCTATGTAAACACAATTTCAATTTGATTTAGGGGGTCATATATAATAGACTTGGCTAATTGATTTTTATTTCTCTGTTTGCAAGTTTCTTTCTCATGTTTTGTGATTGTGGTTCTTATAGAAGGTTTCTTGTCAGCAACAGTCTCAGGCAGAATTGTGCAATGTATTTATTCCTTTATTCTGATACAATTTATTCAGAAAAATAATCAACTGTTTGTGATTTTGTAATGCAGCTACAAAGGAAGAAGAAAGATCTTATGCGACATTTGATCTCTCACTAACAAACAAAAAAAAGCTGCGGGTCTCATATAATTAAGCAGATGGATGAAAACAACGCAGCAAAGTTAACAGGAATCAGGCAGATCGTGAGGCTAAAGGAGATTTTGCAGAAATGGCAAACCGTAACGATAGGGCCCAAGTCAGAAGTCCCTCCATTGGCAGCTGGAAAGCAAGCGGCAGAAATGATTTCACCGGCGATCAACAAAAGGCTATTAGCCGTCAAGAACTGTGACTCGGACGAGGAAAACTGCCAAAGCCCTGAGCCTCCTGCTGATGTTCCCAAAGGCTATCTAGCGGTTTATGTTGGACCGGATCTAAGAAGGTTTATCATTCCTACAACCTATCTTGGCCACTCTCTGTTCAAGGTGTTGCTCGAGAAGGCAGAGGAAGAGTTTGGGTTTGATCAGAGTGGGGCTCTCACTATCCCTTGCGAGGTCGAGACTTTCAAGTACTTACTTAAATGCATGGAGAACAATACTAAAGATCACCACCCTGACGACAGCTCCGGTAAGCCAAAAGGACCACCCTTATCTAGAGATCACAACCACATGGGCCGGGCCGAGCCTGTTAAGGCTATATTATAACATCCCTCGTCTTATGATTTTATCTAAACCCCATTTAACACTTTCAAAAGACTTTACAGATTGTTTGGTGAAAAATAAGAGAGAAATTTTGGTTATTGGACATTGATATGATTATTCTTGAGAATCTGGATCTGCCAACGCTAATGGTTTTTGTTTGTCTTTTTTGCAGCTGGGGATACAGTAGCAGCAAATGAAGAGTAAATACAAATCAAGTGATAAAAATTCTTATAACTTTTCTTTTGTTATTATGATGTTTATTATCCTTTAATTTTATCATATATTGATGGGAATTGTTAGGGATGGCAACTTTGGGGTGTAATTGTGAAATCCGTTTTTTTCTTCTTCTTCTCCATTCTTTTTTCAAGGACGACTTAAGTTTTTAGGGCATATATGTTAGAGATGTGAAAGGATTTGGTGGTCAAAGTGTGATACGAGATTAAAAAAAGAATATAAGCTCTTGTACGAAAACATATGCGCATTTATATTCTCCATTCTAATTATCGAAAAAGATTATGATGTGTGACAAAATGACAATCAAGAAAGTCTAATGAACAATGCAACAAACTTATATATATACTTTCATTTGAGGTATATGGATTGTGGTCAATTTGACAAGAATTGGTCGGATGTGGTATATATACTTTTGTATTTATTTGAGGTGTATATGGATTGTTGGATCACGATCAACTGTGAATAACTCTATGTGTTTCTCAGTCTATTCTTATGAATTAAGCTAGTTGTGTTGCCACGCAATAATGTTCTTATGTTCTTGGGACATGTGGGGACAAATCATGATTCATGAGTATGATACTTCTGGGTTTTATATACTTTTTCTTTATCCGTCCGTGGTGGAAGATTAATTTGCTGATCGCACGTCTTTCTATTTTCAGAGAGGGCAAATCAATTTTCACATTGCCACATGTGTCCGGAGGTTTCCGCGTCTCTTTGTACATATGTTTTCTTTTCGATGTGTTCTCATCTCCAAAGAAAAATATTTCTTGTATGAAATTTACTCCCTTGTGCATTTTATACTAGTTCACGTAATTAGTAAGCCATGTCTAGCATCCCTTGTTCTTTGGTTTTACCGTTTACACCTCATACCAAGCTTTGCATTCAACCATAGCGTGGTTAACCCATATTTGGTGGCCGTGGTTGCCATCCAATTTCTATAAATAACAAAGATCGTTTCGCATTTTTCAGATGAACCATGAAATCTAGGAAAACATATATTTTCTTACTTCTGATAAACTATCTTAACTCGGCTGTCTCCAGTAGAAATAGTCAAAGTTCGGAAAAACTATGACACAAACAAAATTTATCGTGTCCACATAACAGGCAGGCTATGCATAATGGCATAATGCCCAACTTTAAAAGCTAATGGGCATATAAATAAAAACATGGTTAATCGTTTCTTTCCTCATCATTCTGCATTTTTTTTGGTGCTAAAATTTGGCTCTGCATTTTAGCAAACAAAAATCATTTTCTGACATAAATATTGCTATAAAAAACATTTTACGTTCAATATTCGTCTGTTATATTTATAGTTTGTTCTTATTCATTTGCGAGGGAACTGAACGAGGCGCATCAGTCTAGACTTTATCAAAACTACTAAACAAATAACAAGTTTAACAAATATTTAATAAGCATACGGGCCAATCAATCTACTAATCAAGGTTTAAATTTTGTAACCCGTGATAAATCTTGTTTGCCGCCAGCAGAGTCCGGTCAACTCATTTGACCGTCCTAAGCTAGCTCCGAAGGGATATATCCAATCTATTGACATTGCAATTAATTGGAGTTATACATTTATACAATAATACGTACAAACTATATAAAAGAAAATCACACTTCTATATTACACTAGCAAGACAAGCTTAATTTACGCATTAACATATAGTATTATTTTTATTTATTGGTTGTTGAAAAGAAAGAAAAAAAATAATGAAGGCTGTGTAAAGTATACAAAGTATAGAATATACAAACATAAATCATTATACGTTTTGCACCTAAATCAATAAATTAAGTGTCAACAGGCGTAGAACTCGACGAGTTCGTGGACGGACTCGGGGCGTGACTCGTCAGCGTCGGCATTCTCAAGCATCCAAAGCAAATGCTCAAACAAGACAACTTCGCACGACACGGCGATCGAACCGTCATCGCCGCCGCATCCACCATCCACCGCCGCTAGCTGCTGGAAGAGTGGATGGCTCACGACGTCGGAGCTCACGTGGTACGGCCGTCGTGTTCTGCCGACGTAGACGGTGTGAAGGTCTTCTGAGGGAAATGCATTCACGGCGGAGGATCGGCCGTGATTGGCCGGAGCCGGTAGATGGTTGGGCTTCGTGTTGAATGAATTGAGCTTCTTCAGAACTGATTTTAGCTTCATCAGTTTGTTTCCTCCTTTCGCCATTTCCGATTCGGTTTTGAGGAATCTGAAGCCGGAGATGTACGTTGGAGTAAGCTTTCCGGTGACTGAGAGAGAGAGAGACAAGGAGAGCTAGAGAGATGTCGATGTCCAACAAGAAAGGGAGAATGGAGTTTTTTTATAATACTAAGTTGATAGGGGTAGACTCGTAATTATATGATTGGTTTGTATACTCCTGAGTATAATTTAATTTTTTAAAAATTTGATAAACCTCAGGTACCTTAGACCATCTACAATGGTGAACCAGTTTCATCTTAAATTTTTTTTTAATAAAATAATGAAAAGAGAGAAGATAAAAAAATAGAGAAAGTCGAAGAAAAGAGGAAGAGAAGAGAGAGAAAGAGAGAAAAAAAGAGAAAAATGAAAGAGAAAAAAGGCTAACTAATAAAATTTTGACAGTCACCCGTGAACCTTTCATAAACCCGTCTCTAAAAGTTCTAAAATTAGAACCTGTTCTATAAAATTTAGGTTTTATTGATTTATTTTAAATACAAAAAATTCATGAACCTCACCTAAAAACTTTCTTCAAACCGCCGTTACAGATGCTCTTATCAACCGATTTAGGTAGCAAACCTTATGATCTATATATGTTTCCAAGAGTCGGGGAAAATTTTTATTCGAAAATATTATGATGATGAACTAGAAAGATAAAGCGAGTGTCACACACAAATATTTTTTATATACTCACATCACTCCAAAAGTTGTTAGCACTGTCACAATGTACATCATTAATTGCCCCAAAATTTAAATTAATCAACCATTTCAGCTAATCATGCTGGAACAACTACTATACAATACCCACACTGAATATCTTATGAGCTGAGTTTTGATACATGAATTCCAGTTACATATATGTGACTTTCTTTTTTGTTATATTGCACTTTCAGCTGGAAAGATATGTATAAAGATTGCCTTTAGATCCTTGCCAAACTAGTGTCCAAGAGTAATGTAGATGAGAACTATGAAGTTTTTGTTATCACTCAATTATAAGAAATTAATCCAACAACTAAAGGATGGTTCATGAACTTTAAAAGCGGCTTTACGAGTTCTAATTTTGTTAGGTATGTAATTGGCTAGTATGTAGAATTTTATTTCTTTTGATTAAAAAGATTTTTCAACTTTTTTTTCTTACCAATAACATGTTATAAACATATATGTATTAAATTGCAATTTTTTGTCATTTTGTTGTGGTTACTGGTTAGACTAGACTCCGACATTATTTGTTTGTGCAGTTTATTTATTATTTACGTTGTATTGGCGACTACTGTTACAGCATGTGAGTTCCCGAAGATTTGACTTTTTTTTTTGTTTTCACTAAAAATTGTTATCCTAATACGCCGACATAAGAGCATCAAATGTCTTTTTAATCATGTAACTATAATATTAGTATTTAATTACACCTCCTCCTACTTTGTCTACTTATAAATTAATGAAAAATATTTATCAACCCTCTTATTAAAACTACAGATAATATTAACTAGAATTGCGAGAGAAAAGATTGGCGGAAGAGTCCAAATAAAGATGCATGAAATAGAAAAAAGATGCAAGTATCGACCAATCATAACTTTATATAAAATAGAGATTTTCCAACTTCTTATTTTACGGCGGACTCTTCACATGGCAAAGCGTCAAGCTGTGGACGAACCATTTATCTCATGGGACCTCTATGCATAAACACATCTTTTAGATCGACTAATCAAAATTTACGTCTTTTCCATTGCATACATTGTGGAACTTATTCATAAATTTGATGATACACAATAGTTCTTAATTAATTAGTTCCAGAAGTGCCTAAACCATAGGGGAATGCACACACATGTGTGTTCCCCACTCTTAAGTGGTGCATGGCCTCTAGATAGTAAAACAAAACATTTGTTTTGAGGAAACAATTAAAAAGGATTCCTAAACTATAATAAATGCTTAATAAACCGTTTTTATTCCCATCCTTAGTGTATGTTGGTGAGCGAGGGCCCTTTTGGATCCTTTGATGTCTTTATTCAAAATATCATATCATTAAAATATATTGTCGGAAACCCAAAAATTCTTATTCTACCCGTATTATTATCCCTCTTTTCTCTCAAATTATTATTACATAATGAGAAGAAACAATTCATACCATATTTTTGTAAATCCAATATATGCTTCAATCACACGGCGGAGATACATGTAAATGATATGGACTAATCATACTTAAGATATAATTCTGACACAAGGGTTATAAAAATAAGAGATGCTTCGAAATTGTGATCATCACAAGAAATTGTACAATCCTCCAATCTCTACCAACTTAGATAATTTGATAATGTTCTTTTCACACATATATTATTATATAACATCGACAAGTAAATCCTTGTTGTTACAAAGATTGTTACAATACACATGTGAGACATCGACCATCGTCAACTATACCAAACAAGAAAGACATGTGAAACAAGTTGGTGTGTATTGACTTATGCGTCACTCTCCACTTGCATGATTAATGACACTCCCAAATCCTAATACAATATTTGCAAGTATAGATTCTGTCGCAATTTGGCAGAAGAGCAGCAACATTCGTAGATGAAATGAGGTTTCAATGTAAATGTAATCATTGTATATGTGTTTAGAACCATTATATATCTTTCACATTTTTCTAAGTTTAATCATTGTTGTAACTCATCTCAATACGAAATTGTTAATCGGAACATACATCTTAACATGGTTTAGCGATGGCTGTTAGTCTGAAATTCGACGAGAAGGTATGAAATCAGGCCCGATCCAACTATAAGTATGTTCCTAAGCAAACTAAATTTTGGGGCCTTTAAGGAAAGAGCAATTTTTTGCTGGGCCTTTTACTTAGAATTTGTCAATTCACTGCTAATCGAAGATGATGACAACAGAATTAGAGTTAAGCCTTTATAATAAGTATGCAGTAGTGGATAATACTTACCTACTTCGTAGATCTGTAGATCATTTGTAATCTGATAACGGTCAAAGCAGTCTATGTCATGGAAGGAGAATCATAGTTATAGTCACACTTCTTTTGCCTTTCGTATGGTGAAATATGTTTATATTGAGAGAACAAAGCAAGACAAATTTCAAGATAGAAAAATCGAAATTTTCATTGCATTTATCAAGGGAAATCCCTCAACAACCAGAATACAAAGCAGTGCCGGTGGCAAAGGAAAAAAAAAACGAACAAAGAAGCAAAGGAACACAAAAGCGCTCCTTAAAAATCCGAATGATAGTAAAAAATAAAAAAGAGATTATTTTTATTCTTCAAACACCGGAACCTCTCTCTCTCTTCAAGCTCTCTAATGGTTCCGCTGTCTTTTCTCTTTTCTTCATTCCTCCTGAGCAAGAGGAACAGCCTGAGCCTATATAAACACACAAAAGAACAGCAAATATATACCGCATTAGAGACAAACAAAGTTTCATTCTTTCAATACCAAAAGTGTTTAAGAAGGCTCCAAGGATGAAGATAATGCATACCAGTGGGCGATACTTCAATGCATAGAACATCTCAAGGTAGCGACGGCTCTCAAGATGGTCAAGGTTCGAGACATGCTTCCAGAATCCATACACACCGGTCAATGTCAGGAGCCTCTGTGAATAGATCTGCCACGTGTATCTGCAAAACAGACAATAGATATGTCAGCAAACATCTTGAGAATCTAATGAACCAGTAAAAGAACAAAGAGAGTCATGAGTGTTTCTTTACTTCTCCTCGATCCTCTGAAGTCCTCCCTTTGATATCTCGTCCCAGTGAGATGGATCTTCCTTACACTTGGCGAAGAAATCAGCAAGAGTATCAGCAGCCTGATCACCATGGTAAGGGTCAATGTGGAAACCCGATTTACCATGCACAATGATCTCAGCTGGACCACCTTTGCAAGTGGCAAAAGTCGGTAAACCACAGGTCATGGCCTCCACAACAGTCAAACCAAAGGCTTCATACAGTGCGGGTTGCACAAACGCACCCTTGGTGTCACAAATGTAACGGTAGAGCTCACCGTTCCTAACCCGGTTCATCTGGGAAGAAATCCACCTGAACTGACCGTTGAGCTTGTATTCCTCAATGAGATCATACATTTTCTTCATCTCAGCCTTCTCTTCGTTGTCCTTTGACTCTTTCCTCCTGTCTCCTCCCACAACAACCAAGTTAACCAGCTCACGCAGGCGTGTGTTCTTCCCGTACCACTCAACAAGACCTGACAGGTTCTTGACACGGTCAAGTCTAGCCATCGTGAAGAGAATCGGCTTCTTCTTGTCCTTGAGCACACATCTGTTTCAAATCCAGAAAGCTTAGATATACAATCAAAACGTTACTAAAGATAAACATGAAAAAGTCACCAAAAAGCTTACAAGTGCTCTTCGTTTTCAACATCGCTGTAGAGAAGCTCCTCGATCTCAGGGTAGAATTTAGTCAATCTACGCTTCTCCTCTGTGTAAGGGAAGTAGATGCTCATATCAGCACCAGGGGACACAATGTTGAACTTGGGATCAAACACATCAATCCCATGAACAACTCGGTAAAGTCCGGGAAGAGTGAAGGCCGTGTGACTCTCGTACTGCCCAACAGTGTCCTTACTGCAAAATGAGTAAAACAAGGGGATTTTATATACTGAACAAACCACTTCTCTGAAACTATTTATTGTTTATAGTGCAATCAATCTCTTTACCTTCCAGCAATTTCTTGGAGAGTACTGGTGATGATGAAATCAGTGTGGTTCATTGCGAATAGATCCGCAGTGAACTGGCATGAGAAATGGTACTTATCGTCAAGCTTCTTCCAGTAGATATCGGAATCCGGGTATTTGGTCTTCTCCAGAGCGTGAGCAATGGTACACTGTAAGAAAGAATTCACAGAGCATTAGCTTGAATGCTTGACATATCTCATTTGAAAAGATGTGAAACATCAAACTGAGGTAGGACCCTAACCTGAGTAACACCAAGTTTGTGTGCCAATAAAGAGGCAACGAGGTTCCCGTCACTGTAGTTCCCAATGATAAGGTCAGGCTTCCCCTTCAACTCTTTCAAAAGCTCAACCGCAGCATCCTGAAATAGCAAGAGTGAATCACGTTTAGTCTAAAACTGTAAACA